GCGGGACCGGAGCTCCCCCCAGGGCCCCCCGGCCAAGGGCCGCACTCACCGGGCTCGTACTTGAGGTAGAGGACGGAGATGATGAAATAGGCGGTGTCGAACAGCGGGAACACCGGCAGCGCGGCGAAGGCGGCCGCCAGCTCCCCGAGGGGCAGCGCCTCCGCCAGATCCATCGCGGCCCCGGAGCGCGGCTCTCAGTCCCCGCTTCTCGATTCCCGGCTCCGCAGGCCCGTCCGGAGCTGCGGGGGATGCGGGCGGAGCGGCTGCCCGGGCCGGGCCCCTCGCTCCCCGCGGTGTCCGGGCGCGGAGCCGCGGCCGCTGCGGAGCCGCCGCGGGGAGCGCAGGCGCCGCCGGCCGGAGCAGCGCCCGCCCCTTCCGCTTCCCCCCGGCCCCGGAGCCGCCGCCGGAGCCGCCGCCGGAGCCATGATCGGGGATCTGCTGCTCTGCGGGTACCGGGGCCGGGAACTGGGAGCGGCTCGGCCGGGTTAGCCCGACCCGGCTGCGTCTGACCCTGTTCCCGTCCCTCTTCTCGACCCTTTCTCCCTTTCCCCACCCTTCCCATCCTCGTTCTCCATCCCGACCCTCTTCCCCGGCCTCACTCCCCTGCCCCGTGTCACTTTTCCCGTTCTTTCCCCTTCTCCGTCCTCCTGACCCGGTCCCCTTCCCCGACCTTTTTCACCATCCCCGACCCTTTTCCCATTCTCCATCCCCGTCCTCACTCCCCTTCCCTCTCTCTTTTCCCGTGCTTGTTTCCTTCCCTTCCCTCTTTCCTCGTTCCCCTTCCGCCGTCCCCGACACCCCCTTATCCGTCCTCATTCCCTTTCCCCGACCCTTTTTCCCCGTCCCCATCCTCATCCCCTCTCCTTGCCCCTCTCCATCCCCGACTTTCCTTCCCCGTCTCTCCCGCAGGACGCTGCTGGTGAACGCCGGTGCCGTGCTCAACTTCAGGCTGTGAGCGACCGGGGAGGGCGGGCAGAGGAACGGGGAGGGCTTTTTGGGGGTTCACCTGCCTGACACGACCCCTCTGCCCCGCAGGAGGAGGAGGGACACGGAGGGATTCGGAGAGGAGCAGAGGGAACCCACGACCGGTAACGGAGGGGATGCGGGAGCCGGGCACAGCCCTGCCCTGGGCCGCCAGGACACGCACAGGAACGGGCTGTTCTGGAGGAAATCCTTGGCCAAACCACAGCTTTTCCACCCCTGTTTGTTGGATGTGATTTGCTGTGGGGCTGGAATAACTGGTTTATTAACTTGTAAACTGGAATGAGAAGAAACACACAAAAAGCACGTTTCTTTCAGCATTTTTGACCTGTAGGTACCTGTGCTATAGAGGTGATGCTCTGCTCACTCCCCGATTGCCATTTCCACGTGGATCCACCTGTGTTGCTGCCTTGTAGCTCTGTTTTCTGGTTAAAAATCTCAGAAAGCCTTTTTTGGTCTTCCCTTTTTCGCACTGTGACCCTTTTTATAATTGTTTGGTAATTTTGCCACATCTCCTTAAAGAGTTGCACTGAACAGAGCATCCATCCTTCACCTACAGCCTGAAATTTCAATCTGAGCTTTTTGTTGTGGTTTTTTAATGGTTTTGTTTCCCTCTCAGAGTTACTTGTGATTTTCAGGCAGCACTGAAAATGTGACTTGTCAGATGTGTTTTTCTTATCAAAAGCTTCTCCCCTTGATTTCTAGGTGACAATATCAGAGAGTTCTTGCTGAGTCTCAGGTATTTCCGAATCTTCATTGCCCTGTGGAATATCTTCATGATGTTCTGCATGATTGTGTGAGTAACCCTGTGCAGCATCTTCTCACTTGGTTACAGAAAGTCACATATTGGCACTTTTCTTGCACATATATCTCTTTTCACATCTGTCTCTCCCACTCGATTTTTCCAGAATTCTTTTTCACTTCACTTCTTTATTTCAATTTTCAGATATGGGTTGATCTCATGGGGTTTTTTTTGCTAATGTGGGCACCTGTAGTGCATGAAAACCCCCTGTGCCAGCACCTGAGCCATTCAGCCTCAGGCAGAGCGTTGTTTGTTGGGGGTTGCTCAAATCAAACATCACCTGGGTTTAAATTTGGGCATGTTTTTCCTTTTGGGGTGGGGTGGAAACCCACCAAGTAAATCAGCCTTGCACTGGTGTGGCTGTTTCTCATCTGTTTATTTTTTTTTTTTCATCCCCCAGGTTATTTGGATCTTGAAAGACACCCATGGACACACTGGAAGAAACTTTTGGCTGGGAACAAACTTTTCTAGAAGTAAAAGATTCTGCTGCTCTCCAGCTGCAGCCCTGGGCCCGTGGGGAGCAGGGACACGCTCGTCCCCTCCAGGCTCCTGCTCTGCCAGGGCTTGGAGCCACAGCCTTCACACAGATTATCTCAGCTTCACTGAAAGAGAATTTTGACTTGGTTTTCTAAGCTCAGAGTGAGAGCTGGAGCCAGTTTTAAACCTCTGCCTTGCCGGTCCCAGCTGGGGCTGTGCCAGCTCCAGTTACCCCTGTCCAAGTCACACACCTGAGTTCTCAGTTTTGTGTAAAAGTTGAGCAGAGTGTTCTTGTAACTTCTCACTATTCCATTAGTTTTGTTGGAGGTGTAGAAAAGAAAATGCCATTCTCACTTTCTCCCTGTATTTCCAGAAAAGAAAAAAAAAAAAAGAAGCACCTTTTAAATTAATATTTCAATTTTTCTTTTTCTAAGCAATATGTTGGGGATTTTGAATGGGGAAAATGGCAAAAATAATTCTCTAAGCCAATGTTAAAAGATAATTTTGGAATAATCTTGGATTTGGTTGAATAAAGTTCTATTTAAGGGTAAAATATATATTTGATGCCATGTTCGTTCTGTTACAGGATAAATTGATTCTGTATTGGTGTATTTTGGGAAGTTGTAGCTATTCCTGTAATCTGTCTGGAGTCTTGTGTTATTTATATTAAGTTGGGCTTTCTGACCAAGAACTTTTCCCCAGAATCACCGAGATCATTTAAGAGAGTGGGGTGCTGAGTATCTTTTAAATCAAACAGTAAACTGTCAGTGGGGCTTCCACAGCTGCAGTTTCTTTAGCTGTTGAGGAGAAAGAGACCTGATTTAAATGATTCCCTGGCACAGGTTTTAGGGAGTATTTTGAATTTTACCTGGTAGTGAGATGCAAGTGTTGGGCACCAGCAGCATTTTGCTTGAGTCACCCTCTTGGTTGAACTGAAGTTTTCACATTAATGAAACATGACAGGGGAAGGGTCATTTGAGGGAGGCTGTAATGAACCCAGAAAAATGTACAGACAGGCTCCTTCAAATGTGTTTTGAAGGAGAAAATCCAGAAATATGTACAACCTTTGGTTAAATTTAAACATATTCATTGTCTGTAATTTTGGTATATTTTAATCATTTTCTGATTCTTCAGAATGAGACAAAAGTGTACTGCCAAATACAATACGAGGATTGAACCAATATAATTATTGGAAAACATTTAGTGCCTAATCTTCATTAAACCAAGTGTGAAGGGAAGGGTGGATGTGGCATCACTGTGTGTGTGACCTGCTGGACACCCTTGGGCTCAGCCCTGAGCTTTGAAGGTTTTTATTCTTCCTCAGAAAAATGGTGACTTTATGATCACAGGGAGTTCCACCGCTAAAGGAATTCAAACAGTTTTATCACCCTGCACACACCGTGTGGTTCCAGAGCGTGCTGTCCCCACAAGACTCCAGTTGTGCAAAAGTTGTGATTCAGCTTCGAAGCAGCTGCTTTAAAATAACGAAATCATAAGTCACTTTTGAGCTGCTCTTAAATGCTGTGAACAACTTTCAAGTGCTTTGCTGAGGGGACCAGAACACCCCTCACACCTTCCCGCCCCGAGTGGTGCCCGCAGGGGGTTTATTCCCATTATTTATCTCCATTATTTCTTTCTCTCCGCAGGGTGCTCGGTTCCTCCGGGGCCGGGAGTGGCCCCCCGGCTCCCTCTGCCCCTCTCCGCCGGCATCGCCCCGCTCCCCTCCCTGCTCCCCGTGCCCCACTCTCCCCCTCACGGCTCCCCGCCGCAGCGCCCTCTCCTCCAGCTTCTTCCTGCTGCCCCCGTGTCCCTCAGCATTGCCCTGTCCCCTCAGGGGTCCCTGTTTGCTGCCCCCATGTCCCTCAGCATTGCCCTGTCCTCTCAGTGTTCCTTGTTCTCTGTCCCGGTGTCCCCCAACATCGCCCCTGTCCCCTCAGCGGCCCCCGTGTCCTCCAGCACCACCCCTGTCCGCTCAGGGCCCCCCATGTCCCCCAGCATCAGCGCTGTCCCCTCAGGGGTCCCCCTTTTCTGCCCCCGTGTCCCCCAGCATCACTCCTATACCCTCAGAGGCCCCCTTTGCTGCCCCCATGTCCCCCAGCATCGCCCCTGTCCCCTCGGGGGTCCCTGTTTGCTGCCGCCATGTCCCCTCAAGGGTGCCTGTTCGCTGTCCCCGTGTCCCCTTGCATCATCCCTATCCCCTCAGGGGTCCCCGTTGGCTGTCCCCATGTCCGTCACCATCGCCCCCGTACCCCCCTTTTCCCCCCCCCTCACGGCGCGGTCCGGCCGGAGCGGCGGCTCCGCGTCTCTGACTCTGCCCAATGAGAGCCCGCAGCTCGGCGGGCGCCGGCAATATTTGGCCGCGGCCCCCGCGCTCCCATCCCCAGAGCGCCCTCGCCCTCCGCGCAAGGACCTCCATGGCCCGGCCCGGCCCCGCCGCCCGCCCGCCCCGGCCGCAGCCGCAGCCGCCCCGCTTCGCCCAGGCAATGACAGCGGCTCCGGCCCCGTCCCCGCAGCAGATCAGGGACCGGCTGCTGCAGGCCATCGACCCGCAGAGCAACGTGAGTACGGGCCCCGCGGGCCCCCGCCGCTCCGGGCCGACCCCCGCCCGGCGCTCCCGCCGCGACGCCTTTCTCCCCCTCCCGGGGCCTCCGGGGCTCCCGCCGGGGCCGCCCCGGCTGCACCGGAGCCTCCTCTGCGGGCGGTAGCGCGGAGCTCCCGGCGCGCCGTCCGCCCGGGGCGGCCCGGCCGCCTCCCCACGCCAGGCCGCGGCTCGGGCGCGGCCTGCAGGGGGCTCTGGGCCGGCCCCGCCGCCGCTCGCCGGGACCTTCCGGGGCGCCCACCTGTTCCTCGGGCCCGGCGGCCGCTCCGGCCGCGGCCGGGGGCACCCCGGGCTGCGGGAACGCCAGGAGGGCTCCGGCGGTGGCTGCGGGGCTCTGGAGCTGCTCCAGCACCGAGCAGCCTCGGTCTTCGCTTTTATCCCTTCCTGCAGCGCCGTAATGAGCTTATGGGCTCCTTCTGGGATGTGCTGTAAGCACAGAAGTCAGCGTGTATTTTACCTGTAAGTGGCCTTAAGTGGCGGTTATCCAAAGGATCATTTGCTCCTTTTAAGGGTTTTTTGGCTCATCCAAGCAGTTCTCCGCTTAGGTGTTTATTACTGTGAGAGGACTGCAGGGCCCTCAATCTGTCCAGTTTTGGAGTCTTAGATCAGCAGTCACCGCCGCAGGACGCCAAGGTGGGTCTGTCTTGGCCATCTGCAGTTTGTGGGGGCAGCCTCTGGTCCATCAGGCTGAATGTGAACGTGTTATTTTAGGGGCTGGGGTGTGTGAAATGGTGCTTTGGTTCCATTAAAGTCAAAGTTGCTCCTGTCTGAACAAGTGCTTTTTTGTGATAGACCTGCATCAAAGTGCTGAAGTAGCTAATAAAGTTATTGTCACTTGGAACCCCTCCTGGAGCAGCCTGCCCTGTGTCATGGGGACTGAAGAAAAATCTCTCTGGCCTTGTAGGTTCTGTCGAACCCCTTGGGCTGGGCATCTGTGGGGAGTAGCAGTGTTACACATTGGAGTAACAGTAACAAATCCTGGTGGTAATTGTGGACTGTTAAATGTCAGCGTTGTCTGAGTTTGCAGTACTTTAACATGGATCTTGCTGAAATGTCAGTTAGTGCACTTCATGAATCCTGTTTGCTCTGAGCTCTCTTTCTGTGGCTGCAGATTTTTCACTCTACGTGAGACCGAGTGCCAACCTACTTTAATAAAATTCTAGCAGATCTGTGGTGTCTTTTGACTTCAGAACTGTCAGCTACTGTTGTTACCCTAATTTTGGTGTTTGTCAGACACTGTGGCTGTGCACAACTAAGCAGCCAGAAAGCCAGTTTTGTGATGGATACTCTTCCCTTTCTCCACACGCTGATGTTTCAGGATGCTCTTGTGAGAGGACCCAAAGTAACCAGGCAGCTCCCTGCAAGGGGAGGCCAGATCTCCCAACAGGTCAGTAGCCCCTTAAGTTTAGGAGTGATGTATGTTAAATTATAATTCTACATACTTGATACTTATCCAGGGCAATAATTGGTGGCAGAAAAATCAGCTCATTGTTCCAAAGTGCCTGTAGGCAGGGTCTGTCTTCCAGTTTAACCTTTTCTTGGAGGAGAGCAGAGGTGGTGTAGCTGAGGTTCATTGTGCAGGCTGAGAGCTCAGACTCTGGGCTCCAAAGCACATGGAATATGTGGTGGTGTTGATTGTTCACCACCTGGCACATCACTGCATAGAGGGAAGAAAAACTTAAATTTTGAACATGCTTAAAAAGCAGATTTTGAGTTTAATCACACTTGGGCACCATCATATGAGTACAAGAAGCTGCTCTGCTGTTTTTCTGCTGGGAGAGTCAGTGGAGCCATGAGCTGCTGTGCCTGCAGGGACTCATGGAAGTCTCCAGCTACTTTCTGCTGGCTCTTAGAACCTTCTCCTGACAGAATTAGTTGTGTTCAAACCTACAGCAGACATTGTTGTCACTGACTTCCTCATTTATCAAGAAGGTCAAGCTTGGAGGCCTAGATTTAATTCAAGCTTTTCAGTGTAGTTGGTGTGTGTGTGTTTCTGGAGAGGCTGAAAGCTTCACCAGTAGTGTCAGGTGGGCAAAACCAGTCCAGTTCTGTGGAGCTGAGGAGGGAGGAGATGGTTCTTCATGGTGTTTTACTGTAGGATCTGTATATTTAAGCTTCACTTAAATTCCTAACACAAGCTGCCATTGTGGATATTTATTCCTGAGTGGTTAGTTAGATCTTGGTCAACTCACAGGTCATGATAAAAAAAAAAAAAACAGGACATAAGTTTCTCTACCTCTGTTGGGTTGAACTGGTCAAAATAATCATTTCCCCAAGCTTGCAGAACCTGCTGGCCTCAGGAAATCATCTCCTGTGCTGATTGTTCATCTCCAGCTGCTCCATAAAGCCCTGCTGACTCGGGAGCAATACTGAATTTACACATGTTTAGCACTTGAACCTCCTCTAGTAATTGCTGCAGAATATATTTATAACTTAGTTTCTCACACTTAGAGGTTACCTGTGTAAATTCTGAACTATTTCAAAGGAGACCTATACGAAATAAGCTATTTTTAAAAGAACTTACATCATCCTAGAAGCCACCCGGGATGTCTGGTATTGTGTCTTCATTTATTCAGCCTTTTCTCCTCGAGGAAACATATGGGCAAATCACTTCTGCTCCATGACCTAAGCACTGAGTACCAGCATCACTTTCCTTCCAAGGCTTCTGTGAGAACATAGCAGGAGGTGGAGGAGAGCAGGAGTTCTGTTCTGTGAGGTCTGACAGGGGACATGTTCCTTGATTCTGGTGGGAACAAGGCTGAGAAGCCACCCCTTCCACCCAGCAGAATTCCTTTGCCTTGGTAACTTGTGCTCTTTGCTCCTGGGGGAGTTTATTCCCTGATGTCAGGAGTAATGGGAAATGTTGGTTTTTGCTCTGTGGACAAGCCTGTCGTTTCTAGCCAGCTGCTAGAATTGTGCTTGCAATTAAATGTTCCTCATGCTGAATATGTAGCAATCTGTTCCTGTTTTTAAATATTAGATAATAACTTCATTATTTGCCATTAGTACCCCTCTGTGACACAAACCCAGCTTTGGTTTGAGTAACAGCCTGCATTGTGTGCTCCCCGTGAGGTTGGGCTTGGCTCTAGCTCAGGCTGTGGTTCATGCACTACCTCAGCTGGGCTTGCTGCACAGACCTTCAGGAGTGGTCCATGGCCTGAATTATTAATAATTAATTGTCCTGTGTGTTGGAATATGTTGGGTGGTGCATCGGCATGGGCTGATCTCCCAGCTGGCACAAGTTGCATGGCTAAAGATGCTTCTGTGGCTGTTTTCTCTGTTGGTTGTTTTACCAAGCTGCTGGAGGCACAACTCCCCTCACCAGTGGTACAGGTGCTTCCCAGCAGTGTCTTCAGAAGGTGCAGGGCACTGCTGTAATAATATAAATATAGAAAGCAGGGGAAGCTGGTGCTTCACTTCCTGAGGGTCCCAGTGATTTCTTTGGGTGCAGGAAGTGTTACGTGTGGGCGAAAGTAGACTAGGAATGGCTCTTGCTTGAGCTTTATCCTTTTCTGTGAGCCCTAATGAGCTTAGCAGTTTTGAGGGAGGTGCAGAGAACCTGTTGTACCTCTTGCCCTCTTTGTCCCTTTCCTCACTTGCAGCTCATCTTGTTTGGAGCAGTCTCACATTTTGTGCAGGACGGCAGCAGGTCGTTCCAGGTGTGTGACAAAATGCAGAGGGTTCAGGAGCATTTTCTAATGTGCAAGGTCTAAAGTGGTGTTATCATGTCAAACTTTAGTTTCAGATAAAGATTTGGGCCTGATGGAGAGAGTCCCATTGCATTCAGGTTTTTTATAATAACTTTAAATGAGGTCTGTGTCTCTTAGTGCTCTTTATTACAAACACTTGGATTCACTTGAATTCACTGTGTGGGGGTGATGGTGCCGTTGGTTTGAATATTGTATGTCCACTTCTTTCTGAAACAGCTTATTTAGTTTGGTGGCAGTGCAGGCTGTCACTTCTTGAGAGGGGTTGTAAGGCTGGAGGTTTAAAAACTTTCAATTTGTGCAGTGTCCCTTGCAGCAGTGAGACCATTGTGAACTTTGAGGCTTCTAAGACAAAATCTGAGTGAACAGAGATATCAGAGAGTTTAAATTGTGGGGTCAAAGCAAGGGGAATGCCAAACTGCTTTTTAGTTGTTAATTCCTTGAAACTCCCCAGGTTGCAGTGATGATGGCACTAGTCATTTGCTCTGAAGCTCTAATTTGAGTGTTTGTTTCAGCAGCAGTGACAATTTAAATAACACCCACTTCTTATTCCTGCTACACACACCCATCTAATGTGTACAGGATGGTGTGGTGAACTGAACCGAGGAATTGATCAGGATTTAAAGAAGAAAAATGCAATATATGGATCTTTTCCCAGGTAGTTTTTGATGTAGCTCAATTATTTGATAAAACTTCTGGTGCATCACAAATAGTTTTGGCAGCAGAATTGGGACTTAAAGTGTTTAAGTGAGTTTGGAAGCAGAAACAGCATCCTGTGAGGGTGGGGAGGGACACAGGGTGCCCAGAGCAGCTGTGGCTGCCCCTGGATCCCTGGCAGTGCCCAGGGTCAGGTTGGACAGGGCTTGGGGCAGCCTGGGACAGTGGAAGGTGTGGGAGGGGAATGGAATGGGATGGGCTTTAAGGTCCCTTCCAACCCAGCCCAGTCTGTGATTCCAGGAGGAGTGGAATGTTGCTGCTTCCTGGGTGCTTCCCTGCTGCCTTGGGACCTGGCAGGAAGGAGGTGTTGTCACCTGGAAAAGTTAACCACAGCTGTCTGGGTTTTTTGAGGAGACAGTGGCTGCCTCATGGTCAAGTTTCACTTGCAGAGCCTTTTTTGTTGCTGTCACTTGTGCGTGGTTCACAGATGTCTGGAATTATCCTGTGTTTGTGGGCATGCAGCAGTACAGGGGCTCTGAATGTGTCCAGGAATAAGTGCTGGGGAACATCTTCACAGCCAGACCAGGAGGATGCTCCTGAGTTGTAAGTCATGAGTGAGCTCTGCAACTCAAGAGTAAACCACCACCTTCCACTAAAGGCTGTGTGGACAATGCTCCAAATTATCAAAAATTGGGTTGGTTTGGCTTGAACCTCTGTGCTTACACCAGCTGAGGCTGCCAGTGGAGCTGATAGAGCTGCTAGAATCGTGTCCCCACCTCCAGCTGTTCTGTTCCCTCCCTTGTGGTGACCCAACCAAGGAACTCACCTGGCCAAACCCTACCTGAACAGGGGCTCCTCAGGGACCCCTTTCCATGCCCCAGCTCCTCCTGGGCTCGGAGAGGTGGCAGATCTGGCACAGAGTTGGGGAATTGTGTGGCAAGGAGAGGTGACAGTGGGGTGGTGGCAGCTCAGGCTATCCTAGAGCAGTTTGAACCCCCTCACATTGTCAGACTGGGTCATCATAGGGGATCATTAAAGAGCTTTTTAAATCCAAATGATAAAACTTTGCAGCAAACACCCGTCTGCACGTGCTGTACGTGGGTCCTTGGTGGGAAACAAACACTGAATGCTCAGAGGCTGCAGGGAAAGAACTCATTAACACATTTTTATTGGTGTAGCCATGAAACAGCTCCTCAATGGAAGAACCAACTTTTTGTAGGTACTATAAATATGGGGAATAACCTCTGGCAGTCACCAGGAGCCACAGCTTGGAACTGGCAGCTGGTGAGGCTCCTTCCAGGAGAGAAGTGCTGGAACAAACTTCCCAGGCAGCAGAGGACCTGTGGCTGGTGCTTCCTGAGTTGCTCCATTTGGGGATGTTCTGGACCCTGTGTGAGGCCATTTGAGTGCACCTTGGCACACCTTGAAGCCAAGAGAGCAGGGAGCTGAGCAGGCCATCCTGGCAGGGCTGGAACTGGATGGGATGGGCATGGGATCCAGCTGGATCAGCTCCTGCTGCCAAGGCACTGACAACAGCAGGGGCCAGAGGGAAAACACTCCAAAGCTCCCACATGGAGAGGGACCCAACCTGTGCCTTAGGAAATAGAAGACTTTCAGCTTAGGCTGTGTTTCAGAAGTCTGGGGTTGGGCTGAGAATTCCAGTTTGTCTTTTTTGGGGGGATTTTGTCTGGTAAGTTGAGGTGAGCCCAGTTTAGGGGTGGTGAGGTGTGCGTGGTTGCCTCTCTTTGGGGTTTTGCTGTGGCCACATGACACAGCAGCACTGTCATCCTGGCACCTTTGGCTCCTGATCAAAGTAGCTCCACTGCAGCTGAAGCTTTCTCTCCTTGTGAGATCCTTTCCCAGTTTCTTCAAGAAGCTGCTGCAGGTGACAATTAGTGTTTCTTTTTTTTTCAGGAACCACAAAAGTTTCAGGAGAGGGGAAGGAGGAATTGATTCTGCCTGCTGCAGAAGTTTGATGTTAGTCAAGGTTCATTGCTTTTAAGGCATAGTTACTCCAATACATTAGGCTTGGAGTTAAAATTAATGTCAGTGTAGTTTTTTTACATAAAAACATGTCTGTTTTGGCTGATAATATTTTGCTGCTATCTCTTCTCACCAGTTATGTGCATGGTGATAACACCAAATATACTCCCTAGGTCTGTATAATGTGGTAGGACGTAGCCCCACTTTTACACGTGGTCTTTAAAGAAATAATTTAAGGTAAAGGTAAGTAAGTACCTCATATTCAGTTTAATGTAAATGTAGGTTTGTTTATTCAGTGTTCTAACAGCTAAATTACTCTTTCTGAGGGTAATTCATGCTTTTGGTGTTTGGAATAATATTTAAGTGCCAGCAAATTGCTTTAATTTGAGGTGCAATCTGCTAGAACTCGGCAGTGAATTGGTGTTTTCAGGGGCACGGCTTTCACAGGGCAGCCGTGCGTGCCTGAGTGTGATTGTTAATATCAAAGTGTACAATTTTCAGCATGTCCAAACAGTCAGTGGTAGCAATTTCTGCTGAGGAGTCACTGGAAGTAAAACATAATTAGCTCTGTTTTAGTGAGCAGAGTGGTTTCTAACCCAGCAGCTGGGGAGGAGGGATCCTGCATCCAAGGGATTCAGGGACACGCTCGGCTGGGCGTGTTTTCAAACTTGGAGCTGTGGAGACGACTGCAGAGGTGGAAGTCTTGTCTCAGAGTGACAGCCAGCGCTTCTGTGGAGCTGCTTTCTCACATAGTTTCCATGCAGGATCAGCTTGCAGAGTATCACAGTTATAGTACAGGTCTGGAGGGTTTGATTTTTTTATTTTTTTTTAAGGAGTGTAAAGCTGTAGAAGATAGAGGAACATGGTGTTTTTTCCAGGTGGTGATGCACAGTCATAAATTATCTTTGGTGAACAAACTTCCAGCACACCTACAAATGTCTGTAACTCAAGCCATCACTTTCTGAGCAGGTCAGTACATAACACTCCTCGTGCTCTGTAAATTAACTGCAGCAGGAGGGGATAGGAAATGTCTTTATAACTTGTCATCCTGAAAGTTCCAGGAAAAAAATAGTATTTCAATATTGTATTTAATCCTTGGAGAAACCACAGTTGATTCTTGAATAGAGTTGAGAACAGTGAGGTGGAGGAGAAGATGCAAGAGGTGATGTTTCAGATTTCTTGGTGAAGGTGGGTGCCTGCAGCTCATGGGCTGAGCACACTGCTGAGGAGCTTGGCTGCATCCTGGAAAACTCAGTGTCCCTTGTCTTGTGAGGAAGAGTTTGTCTGTCAAAATAGCATCTTTCAGGTTTTGACTCTTTGCTAGACTTTTCAAGACAGGCTGCCAAGGGGCTTAAGCCTCACTGGGGCTTTCTGAACTGGAAATGGAGAAGTTTTTTGTCACTAGGTTAGAAATAAGCAGGCCAGGTTGGAGCTTCATGAATGTTCTGCCCCATCCCTGGAAGTGTTCAAGGCCAGGTTGGAGCAGCCTGGGACAGTGGAAGGTGTTCCTGCCCATGGCAGGGGGGTGGAATAAAATGGGTTTTAAGGTCCTTTCCAACCCAAACCAGTCTGGGATTCCACAATTCCATGTTCTGTGTTTAAATATTAAAAAAAATGCAGGTGAGTACTGGGTTCCTTGCTCCTGCCATGATCACACGGCTTAGTTGGCTCGAGTGGAGCTGCTTTTACAAACCCTGAGCTGAGAAGGCTCCATGCTCACCTTCCTTTTTTTCCCAGCCAAAGGTAGAGAAGGCATTTTGTTTCCAAGGAGCTGCTGAGGATTGTGCCACTGGCTGGAGTGGCCAAACATTCTCCAGGGATTACTGGGGGGCTTTGCTTTCCTGACAGGTGACATTGTCCTGAGGTGACACAGCCTTCAGAGAATAGAGGTATTTGGAAATGGCTGACTGGCAGCAGTGTTTAATCTAGAATTTGGAGAGCAGTTATTCTAGGAGATGTGTAAATTGATTTCAGTTTTTTTCTCCATATTCATAAAACTTGTTTATGGTGTGTACTGACAAGAATTCAGTATTGGTAACAGTTGTTGAAAGGATACAGTGACTTCTCCACAAACTTTCCCAGTTTGTAACACTATTTTTCTCAGGTTTTTTGAACAAACACACCATGCCTAAACTCTCATGAGTAGTCACATGAGCATCTTGCACTTCAGTGTGATGAATTAATATATTCCACAAAGAATTCAACATTGTGTTCACTTCAGCCTTCCCTTTCATTTAAACAATCAGCTGAGAAACTTCTCTAGAAATTTGAGGAAAGTTGGCCTGCTGCATTTAAAGTCCACTGGTATGGTGATAAATGGTTTTACTTAAAAAAAGAAAGAGTGAAAATTCTGTATTGTGGAGACATTAGTAGGGCCTTTCTGAATTGCACTCAGATATAAACTGCTCTCTGTTAACAGCTTTGGGTAGATACTTTAAGGGATGGCTAAAATAATATTTAAGAACTTCACAAAGCTCTGGACCTCTTATTATCAAGTCCTTAAGTGCACATTACATGATTTTAAATGCTCACCAGCTCTGTGGAGTGGATGAAGATGGAGCAGGTGGTCACAGAATGGTTCTGTCCAAGTGATGCCTTTAGGGGTCCTGTGGCACCTCACTGTGCCCTTCCCTTAACCAACAGTGAGTTCAGGTGAGTTCCTTAAGCAGAAAGCCCCAAGATCATGATGAATCAGAAGGGGCACATTTTAAGGCTGGATTTTCTACATATTCTGTATTATTCTTCCTGAATAGTCATCCAACTGCATTTCTGTCTCGTTGAAGTAGGACCAGTTGTCCCCGTGACTTTGCTTGCACAGCAACCTCATTTTATGGCTCTCTAAATTTTGAAGCAATAATTTTGGACTTCAATTCATGGCTTAGAATAAATAGTAACTACTAAGATTTGTCTGGTTGAAGTTTCTGTACAGGAGAAAGAGGAGGAGAAATTATTATCCTGTAGACAAGGAAACTGTGTCACAGTTGGATGTGCTCAGCACCAGTGCAGGGATTGGGGGGTTTGAGGGTGAGGTGCCTGAAGTGGTGACAGAGCCTGAGTGGGGACAGAAACTTTGGGCATTTGAGATATTTGGGATCACATGAAGCACAGTGCTGGGGCAGTGAGGTTGATAGTGTTGAATTTTTAGGTCTTTCACAGTACATGCTGTTTCCTAGAGTTACCTGTATGGATCTTTCTGAGAGGACAATTCTGAATTGCTGCTCTGAGTCTAGTTTGGAGTAGATGGAAAGGGTGTGATGTGTTTGTGCTCCTTCTAGCTCAGTGTCTGTTCCCCAGGTGGAGGGGCATGGCTGGAAGGGACTCCATGTGGTACATCACCTTCATGAAACTGCTCTTTCTGGACTTGTCTAATCTGTTCTTAAACCTCCATAGTGGCTCAGGAGACTCTGGAGAGATTATTTGAGTGCACTGGTAGCTCACTGGTTATTTTTATATGCAGTCATGATTTGTCTTGTTGCAAATTAGGCTAGTGAGCATAAAAACAGTTGATTAACATTTCTTTATTATGACTAATAATGCATAGGAAGGCTTATTTCAAGCTTCATGTGTCTCTTTCCTATTTTTTCAATACTGTGTGAAATGAAAACTTCCAACTTTAAGTTATTAACCATGTTTTCAAAACATGGTTATCCTGCTGTCCTCTGACCTCCTCTTGGCATATGTTCTTCTTGCACTGTTGCAGCTGGAGATGAAGATGTAATTCCAGCTGAATTTGACTTTTCTGCCATTCCTTACAGCTTGAAGAACACTAAAAGCTGAATTTGACTTTTCTGCCATTCCTTACAGCTTGAAGAACAACACTAAGTGATGTTGCTTGCAGTGTGCTGTGGTGGATGCCACCAGGAGTGGCAGTGGCTGCCTGGGGTTGTGCTCCCTGGTTCTTGCTCTGTTCCTTCACCAGGAGTTTTTACCAATTGAATAGTATTTCATGAGCTTCTTTGGCTACTTTAAAATCAGGCTAATGAATTTTTATTTGTCCAGCTTCACAGTGTGGTGGGGTGTGGAAAAAGAGGTTGGGGGGGTCATATTGCAGTGAATCTTTGTACATCTGCAGCTCAGGGTTGGCACCACAGGCACGATTCTTACGGTGTTATACAAAACCTTCAGTAACTGTTGAAGTCCAGACAGGTATTTCTCTCTGTAGTAACAAAAATATCTTTCAGTTCCTGGCTAATAAACGTGAATGGAGAAAAGTGTTTCACTGTTGCTGTTTTCTGTTGGCCTTAAAGACCTTTTCCTGTAGCGCAGGGAGCTGGGGATGTGCCTTGTCTTCATAGTCTGTGTTTACTCCCTCTTGTACCATCCTCCTCCAGTGGATGCTCCTTTTGTTGGGTGGTTTCCCCTGCCTTGGCCCAGCCTGGAGCTGTTCCTGCTGTGCCAGGGGCCTGGGTGCCTCCCTGGGCATGGGCCGTGCAGAGAAGAGCCGCAGCGCTCGTGGCACTCCCAGCTGCTGTGGGTTTGTGTCTGGAGGCCCTTTGTGAGTGCCAGGGCAAACTGTGCTTTGTGCTGGCAAGCTCCCCTCATTCTCTTGGCTGCTGTGGTGCCTGCCCAGCTCAGGGATGTGTGTGGGCACTGCCAGGAGGGAGCAGGGGAATATTTCAGGTCCACTGGTTCCTTCACGCTGCGGAATTGTATTGGAATCTGACCTTACTCTCATTTGCTGATCCTGGCTTTGTAAAGCATATACAGGAAGGTATCTGGATGATGATAATTTACCATTAAATGAAGCCTAAGTACAAATAAAATATATGCAGATTGGTTTGACTCTTCAAAGTAGACCTGGGAGTTTTAAATCTGGAGGTACAGATAATGCTTCCTGTACCTGGTCACTCTTTGGATTCTTCTTGGTACTCAAGGAGTATTTCTTCTACCCCTTGTTTTACAGCACAAATTTCTGATCAGTTTTCAAAGCATGAATTTCTCTGTCATAGAAGATTCTCCCAGTGGATGGCTTCCAACCCAAGTAATTGATTCTTTCATGTTTAAAAATCTGTTTTACTAAATACTTTTAGAAAACTGGCCTCCACCTTTAAAAATATTTTTTTGTGTACTGGTTTATATCGGACCTTTGCTTGTCAAACTGACTTTCAGACATTTTCAATAATGTGAGCAAAGTAGTGCATGGTCATCTTTTTGGTATGTTGTGTCTGTGAATAGTATCTCGTGTTCCCTATCTTTAGACAACATCATGTCACATTGGGGCTAGGGGGAACTGTTAATAGATC